TTGTTATAGATTTTGTTATCGATTATTTATGGATTTTGTTACCGGTTACTACCGGAGATTTTTGTCGATTTAGTTATCGATTTTCTAATCGATTTTTATTATCGATTTTGTTATCGATATTTTAATCGGTCCTGTTATCGATATTTTTGTCGGTATTTGTTATCGATTTTATCGATTTTCTACTCGATTTTACTACCAATATTATAACGGAAGTTTCACTTCTCCAAAGTGGCCCAAGCGCACTTACTTTTTTTTCTTTGTTGACGGTGGTCACGCATTTTTCCCATACAAAGTAGTATGTTCGAAGATTTTATATATATGGAAGAATGTCTAGCAGAAAAAAGACAAAAATTAAGTTATTTTGTATTTATTTCAAACTTGCACTTTATCACATTATAATAAAATGGGCTATCAAAACGCATACCAGAAATTGTTCAAAACATTTTGAATAATTCACGTGTCCTTGGACGCCTGGATATTGAGAGGAATTATAAAAGTGGCGAAGTAGCGAAGTATGCCAATGTAAGTGAAAACTTCTCGACCTGTGAAACAGGCTACGCCCTGGGGTGCCCCGGCACCCATTTTGGGAAAGCCTGGACTAGACGATTCGAGTGACCTAATATGGATAGAAATCCATACTGGCGCGATTGATGTTAAACGTTTGCGGGGTTGAGGCTACAATTGCTATTAGTTTTTCTTTTCCAATTTTTGGAATCCTTCGCTTTGCCTAGAATTTTGAGCTATATTACGAATTGTTTTTTTGTGTAAATGTAGGAATGAATAAAATTGGTTTAAAGTTTGGATAACACTGTAGTAAACTAACTGAATGTATTAGGCAGTCCGGAGCATAACAGCCGAAAGGTATGCTACAAAAATTGTTTCCGTTCATGTATTCCACTAAAAGTTTTTTTTTTGTTTCCGTTTGAATTGGACTTCCTTTCGTTTTATTTTGAACTAGCGGACTACCCCGCAGTTGTTCAGGTGAAAAGGTAAAAAAAATTTGCCGCTCTTAGAAAAAACTTTCTCTTTTCTTTTGCTTTTAGTGTTAGTCGGAAACTGGGCTCGATCACAGGCCCTGCGGAATGGTAGTGCGCAGCGGTCGACATCGCGAAGCTCAGCCTCAGAGGAAACCTAAGCCTTTTAAAATTAAATGAAAGTTCTCTGACAATCAACAATATTTTCCTTTGCCCCATCCAGTAATTATATTGGTTACCATTTTCTTTACTACCAGTGTCAGTCTATTAAAAGATTTAGGTGGTTTAAAGATTTTCATCTTTTTTGTTGGCGCTGTAACAGTCTAAACGATTTTAGCTGAATCCAACAGAGCGCCAGTCGTTTCTCTTCTGTGCCAACTGACGCCAATTGGAAATGCCAAGTCAAGCCAAACCCTTCTCCACCTGGTCTCTCCAACGCAGATGAGGCCTTCCTATTATTCTGTTACCAGCATCGCGATTACAAAAAAAGAATAACAGGCGGTCCAATATTTTAAGAACAGAGATTATATAGGAAAACTCCTGAAGGCCCAAGTAGGCTATTATTTCAAAGGAGCTAAGATTTTGTCAACCGACATAACGTACAGTCTGCCAGAGCATGCTCTGCTACCTACACAGACTTTGAATAAACGAGAGTGATTATGATCCTTGGATAGGAGACCTTCCGAAAAGTGCGACGTGGATAAGTTTTAATGTTAGTGCAAAAGTTAGGAACCAACCACATTGAGTAATAATGGAGGTGACGTCAAGTAATGGTTAAGGGCTAAAACCTTTTAAAGTATCCCCGAATGAATCACGAAAATTTACTAATTTATTTAACGATAAAGGTATCCACACACTTGTGCCATTCCGTCGGAGCGGATTCGCACCGTTTTTAATAAAGCTACAGAGTTGACTACTTCGAAAACGCTAGAACGCACAGATCTGTGCGATTCTATCGCAGTGAAAAATGTCATTTTATAAACAATCAAAAATTATTTTTCAATAAGAAATTGTATTCTTATGGCCTTATTCATAAAAAATAAAATAGGTTTAAAGAGCTCTATAAAGTGACATTTTCATACAAAATTTCGATTTATAAAGCAGTTAAAGTGCTCTTTATTTTTTATGAATGTGGGTATTAGTATGTATGTATTTCTACAATAGTTTCGTTTCGGTTTCGTACGTGAATTTTTGTTTCAACTTTACCAAATCCGTCTACTGACCTATTTAGTTCTCAACACACGGCATTCTGCGATTTCGGCACGACGAAAAGAAGAACTGTGAATGTTCGAATAAATCGCTGCAACCAAATTGCATAAGTGTGTGGTTTGTAATCTAAAACTATGGTCGGCATTGTTGTAATTTTTGTCGGAACAGATTCGCACCGGCAGAATCGCTTAATAAAAAAAAACGATTTGCGACTATCCGAAAGTTTAAAGCAATTATTTTTATTACACATTTCAAATGTCAAGTAAACTATATTTCACTTCATGTGGCACTCGACATTTTCAACGAACACGCCCCTCAAAACATGCGGGGATGAACCCACGAATCCAATCCAAATGTTGGCTAATACGTTGGAAACCAGATG